TTGACTTTTGTTTTGTGTAGGCAAGCAAATGGCCCAGCTGATCAGTTATGTTTTTTAGTTCCTGAACAGCACTAACCACCTCCTCTTTTAATTCTCTTAGTTCAGAAATTAATATATCCATTTTAGAGAAACCATGTGAAGGTCTAATCAAAAAAGATCCATCAGGAGAGGGCCCTGTAATTAAAGGAATTCCAGAAAAAGCAAGTCCAGAAGATGGGGAGATAGTAAAAGATGGCAAAGGTCCAGAAGAATATCCAGGAGAGGATACTTGTTCCCCATCACAAGGAGGCCCAGCAGAGGGTAGGTGAAGAACAGGAGAAGAAGATCCAAGAGCTTCTGTTTTAATGGTAAGCTGTGGTTGTAATGATTTGTTGCTGTTGAATGCAGGAGAATCATAGGAAACTGAACATGATGAAGAAACTGTAAAATTAAAATTTATTTAATTGTACACACTAATGTACAATTCCAAACAAATCTCTAACAATATTAAAATGCTTTAGGATATGCAATGTTAAAATATACAATTATAGTACATGACGTAAAGCATCACATCATTCTTTTCTACTCTGGGTCAAATATATTTTACTAAGCAAAAATTATTAAAAGTTTAAACTACTGATGAAATATGCAAAATAAAGACTTGCTGTTTCCCTGGAGACCAATTAAGTTTGCTTTTCACTGTTTTTTTTTAAACCCAGAGCTTCTTTTAAAAAACACATCAGTTCTTTTCATAGAACCCTGGCATAGCAATCCATGCAGCTGTTTCATGTTTTAAATTATTTAATTTTTGAGGAAGCATCCTTTATAAATAGTATTGTTTGTACAGAACACTTTCTGTAATCATATCAATTAACATCAATTGCAATTTTATTATTATATGAACCTGAACAAGGATGAAAATAACTTATAGTTTTGAGGATTAAGATGAAGTATATCTATCTATTCCTTTTCATTATCACTCCACAGCTCTGAGTAATGTTAAATAAAGACTGTCTAAGACAGAATTCCCCAACCTTTTGGGCACCAAGGACTGGTTCCATGGAGAGAGGTTTTTCCGCAGATTGGAGGGTACATGGTTTTGTGTGCTTCCTATATCCCATGGACGGAGCTTTGCTTGTTTGTGCAGACCGTTGCTGGCATGCCGCAGCCTGGTACTGGTCTACAGACTGAGGTTTGGGTACCCCTGGTCTAAGACCATGTGCTGGGATCTATATAAGACCATGGATACTAGATCCATATTCCTAATGCTATGATATAAAATTATTTGTACATGCTAAATCTGTTCCTTCCTATGTTTAGTGTCCATATTTAGAGGGAAAAGGATTAACTGTTGTAAGCAAAGTAGAATGGAGTAGCTACATTTTCACTTAAATGACAAGTGATTTTAATTCATAAGCCATGAAAAGCTCTGATGCCATTATAGGATGTCCTGATATTCGATTGGTCTACTAATCTCAATTATTTCAAATCATATTATTACTGTAAGATTCTTATTCTGAGTAAATTCGTATCTTTTTTCCCTAGGTCTAAAACTATCAGGGATATTTACAATCTCTATTAACTAAAATTAACTGCAAAAAAACTAGAGTAATTTTTGAACAATTCAGATACAGGTATATACCAAGAACATGACTTAATCTTAAATCATACACAATTTTAAAATTAGTTTCCAAATTAGCTAACTCAGGGAGCAACTAATTGATGAATTAACTAATTGATGAATATAACAGTCTTTTTTCAATAAAATGTGCCTAAGAGAAATAAACAAGCAGGAATTACAACAAAATATTGCAAGACAAAGTGCTGCAGTTTTGAAGATACTCTTTCCCCCTCAATAATCAGTCACATTTCAACCATCAACAAATATGCTCAATGTTTATTATAATGCTCTGAAATCTTCAACTTAATTTTATTTGTCTCTAACCTTGTTTTTTACATAATTTAACAAACCTTCAAACTCTCAAATGTGTTGATACTTCTATTGTACATAAACAGTACTATTCTAACTATTTATAGACTAAAACTCAGAATCTGTTATTTAGGATAACCTTCATTTCTTCAAAGGTAAAACTCTTAATGTATAATATTTAAAATCCACACAATTCCCCCTTTTCTTAATTGACACTAAAAATGTCATCTTTTCTTGTTGTTAAAAAAGTAACTACTTACCAATAATTGTGGTTCTGCAAATTCATATTTGTGGAGCAAAGATCTCAGGTGCAGCTGAATTTCAGGAACCTTTTAGAAAAGCTGTGTCTATTGTTATTGCATAACCATACTTTTATGGCACTGCATGAAGGGAACTGAGGTTAACAAATAACTCATCTTCTTCCACTAGCCTCAGAAATTTATGAAAGCAGCAATTTAGTAACAGTTTCTTCCTTCTCCTTAATAATGACACCAAATCCTCCCACATGGACACCTTTCGTAAGTGCAGCTTCTTCCTACCCTTATATCTGAGATTAGAGGAAAGCAAACCAAAGCCTCCAGTAGCCCAAACTGAGAAGCTGGAAAGATAGGTAACTAGTTAAGAAGATCCCCTGAAGATACCATGATTCTAGGACAAATTGCATCAGGCCTTAGTACTTACCAACTCAGAACATCAAAATCATATTTGTGCTGAAGTTCCCACAAAATGAAACCTCAAACATATCTAATCATGGTGCAAAGGCATATGCCTCTTAATTACAAAAGACCAGGAAAAAAACTACTCCAATAACAGAATAGTTACTCTGATAAATAACTCATGCTGTCTGGAGCAAGTGGTTTTTATTTGAGAAAAGATAGAAAGACACGTGTTAATGCCTTTCGGATACTATTCTGGCAGACTAATTGACAATGAATGCCCTTGTTACTGAAGCACATCAAGAGAATCATATGCATTTTGATATAAGAAAGATAAAGTGGCATGAAAAATATCAAAAACTGAATATAGATACAAAAAAAAAGGAATACATTCATTGACCATGCACAAAGCATAGTAATGATTATATAAAATAAATTGATACCACCCCAAAAGATCATATAAAATAATATTAAGTATCAATCAGAAAAAGTAAAATGTAAAAAAGGCAAACTAGAAGAACTAAAATTCTGAAAAAATAAGTTTGTATTTGAAACAATTTAAGTCTTTAATGGCCTGTCACATTCATGAATACACTCAGACACATTTTTCGTCTTAACTGAAGGTTACCAAAGCTTAAGCACCACAGATCTCTACACTCCACAACTAGAACAATGCAGAGACCACTACAAACTTTTAACCTATCGGCACATTCAATTTTGACAATTAGACTCTGTATAATGTCATGTCTCCTTCAAAGTAGACTCTGTGCTTATATATTTTGATCCTGTTCCCACACCATGGTACAGAAGTAATTGTACAAATGTGACTGCAGTTTTGCTTTTAACCTTGAACATGGAAATTGCTTTCTAAGTTCCTCCTTTAAATATCTGTGATGGCTCCTGGTAAAGGCAATCGTTTTTACACATGGCAAGAGCAACAGAAAAGTAGATAAGTTATACACAATTTTAAGCAACATTCCAGATCTCATTTCTGAACTATCTGAATTCCAAAACCTATTCGTAAAAACAAGAATAACAAATCACAGATAACACTTTTAGAAACCAACACAAGTCAATTATTTGGGGGGATTTACTTTACACTGAAAAATACAAAAATAAACATATAATGCAAGGTTTTTGGTATCAACTTCATAACTGTATACACTGAAATTTTTCATTTCATTTTTCTTCATCACAACACTTTTACATTTTTATTTTGCAAAAAAGAGAAAAAGGTCTCAATTTTAAGAATTCCGTTCAAAGAACAGAAAAAGAAAAGGAAGAAAACAACTACAATAAAAACTGTACAGGTATCAAAGTTAAATTGAGAACTTTATATAGCATCATGAGTCTTACAAAAATAATGTTTTGAGTATTATATTAGGAAGAAATTAGACAGAAATTTATGACCTATATGAAATTGGCATAATTATATGTTGATGCATAAATTAGAAATTAGGGAGTAGGTAAGTGGTTGTAGATATAAACGTTATGAGAAAAGGGAAATAAACTCCTGAAAACTGATGATTCTTTTAATGTGATATTCTATCAGATCTTTTACTATATATTTTAATAAACTTTGGAAATTTCTGTCACACATCACAGAGCAAAATTATTAAGCAATACTATTATATAATATGAATAGAACTATAGGAAGCATTGTGAAAGCTAAGAAATAATCACTTCCGTTCACTACTTATGCTTAATTTTCCTCTTCAACTTAATATTGTTGTGAAATACAATCCATGGCTGAACAATATTAAGATATTGTACATGTGATTGTGTACTCATTTAGATAAAATTTACTTCAGGCTTAACAATGCATGTATGCCTCTGTAAAACAGGGTACTTTTCATTTATATTTCAGATTTTAGTCACACAAAGCACATATGAACCAATGGATAAAAATAAATAATTTCATGTGAGTATTAAATGCATAGCAACATGGCCAGAAAAAATGTCAAAATTAATCATCCTCTTTTACAGTATATCTGAATCCAATAATTTGTTCAATCATTTTTAATCTTTCTAGATTCTGCTAATCAATATAGTGTCTCTACATTTTGCCTGCCAGTAAATCAATTATTAGATACTTCTTGTGATTCTAAATGAGTACTATGGCTTTGAAAAAGGGATCTGTGCATTTGATGAATACAAAATAGAACTTTTCAATAATAGGGATGACATTGTAATTACTACAGAATGTAATATTCTAAGGAAGTATTTTAACCTCAAAAGATTTAAAATTTTCTTCTTTATTCCAATCTACCATCTATTCATAGTTTCTGAAGAAATAATGTTAATAAGAGCTCCAAGATCCTGTCTTGTCTGTCTATCTATCTATGAATAAACCTAATTGAATTCAATATAGCTTACTTCTGAGTAGACACAGAATGAACTGAGCACTCACTTTTCTATAGTATGTATTTACTCACCTTGATCTCTTTCATGCCATGTCCTACTACCAGCAGCTGGTGAATTTGGGGAAGGATAAAAATCTCCTGTTGGACTTGGTTCCATATTCTCATCTATGGATATAGTTTTGGGTCTCTTACTGTAAACATATAGAAATAAGGGCTTATTTAAGCAGTAGTTATATTGATATTTTAAAGTGCAATCCTTTTCAACCCTAAAACTACACTAGATATATTCACATTTTACACTGATTTTAAAATTATTTATACTGTACACATTTTTCTTTCATTAATACATTAGTGATTGTTTTTAGATTAGGCATGCAGAGTTAGGACTCCAACAGGCCTTATTCAAGAACTGGCTTGTCAGCAGAAGACTTACATACCCACAACAGTCAAATTAATCCCACAGTCAAAAATGAAGCTACACACGTGCGCAAACACCAGCCTATGAAAATATACAGGCATAAAATCCTGTATGTAGATCTATGATTGTTGTTAGTTGCGAAGTCATGTCCGACCCATCGCGACCCCATGGACAACGTTCCTCCAGGCTTTCCTGTCCTCTACCATCTTCTGGAGTCAATTTAAGCTCACGCCTACTGCTTCAGTGACTCCATCCAGTCACCTCATTCTCTGTCGTCCCCTTCTTCTATTGCTCTCAATCTTTCAGGTCTATGATAGACAGTGTTAATTCTAAGTCTCTTCCCTGCCTTTCTGAGTCAACAGATAATAAACTGAGACACCTGTCCATGCTGATATTAACAATTCTCACTAGTTTGTGAACTACAGGTTTTCTCTCAATATTTTCAAGTTGGGGCATAATTTCTACTCTGAACAATAATCATTTTCATTACAAAACTGTCATTTGAAATTATTTATTGAGGAGTGTTGATCAATATATATCTACTTATCTTTTTGTTCCACTAAGGCCCTTCCCTCCCTCCCTCCCTCCAACACAGACCACATTGCTGGACAAATGCATAATTATTTTATTGAAAAGCTGCAAAGTAAAATCATTTAAAATATTATATAACCACAGACGTTTTACAATAGGCTAACCTGGTTGGTGGAGAGGATAGCGATCGCTGTAAGTTAACACTTGAGTTCATGTCATGATAGTATGGTTGACCTGGAAGTTCTCCAATGGGGAAGTTTACTCCAGCTCCCTGGGTTATAGGTGCTAAAGACATAATTTAAAGTCAAGCCTGTGTCTAAACAGACATATTAATATAATCCTAAATCAAAGCAAATTCACTTTTATCTAATTATTAGTCATGTAATTAAAAGACACAATTTGTACTATTTAGGGGCATGGGACAAGCCTTCCCTCCCACCTCAGCATGCAAGGCCAAGTGAAAATGGATAAGATGTACTAAAGTCCAATAAATCATAGGGAAATATATTAGGGAAGACTGTGCTAGACAAAGACACAATTGACTCATAGACCTATGGAAAGCAGCATAGATTTGTTTCAACAAAGCAATCTGGGCTGTGGAAGCGATCTGATTTGCTTCCCTCTCAAACTGTTTCATACCAGTCCCATGGAAGAAGGCTGATGGGAGTCTTATTTCAGCTAACTCTCCAGGAGAAGGTTATTTTCAATCTTCTCCCAATATTCCCCAAAGTTTTTGACTCTTTGTGCCGCTGCCCTCTTTAAATTACCTTTCAAACAGGGGGTATGAATTGAGAGTTTTGACAGACACAGACAGAACCTCTTTCAACTACTTGCCCAAATTGTTTAGCAAATGATCTGGAGGCTTTGGCACACACCACAGGATAGCTTGCAGTGTTCATGCCAAGGATACCCAGAATGACTCAAATCAATATTGTCAGAGAAAGCTCCTCTTAGTCTTCTTCCAGGGCATCAGTTTTAGAGACCATTCCTAAATGCAGAAGGTCACAATGCTTCACAAAATACCTTTGAGGGAAGTGGTTCTCTCAAAGGTTTCCCACAGTATAACATTCCTATGAAGCTTTGCATACCCCTATTAACTAGTTCTGTATGTTCTCTACTTCTCACACATATCAAGTCAAAATACTCATAGAATCTATAGGCAATAATAGATTTCAAACGTTTGTTTTGTGAAATAAAAAAATGTCTTTTGGAACACTGCAACCATCATAAATATGTGTTGGTTGCTAAGCACATGAATTACAATCATGTGACTGTGGGGCACTGCAACAGCTGCAACTTCAAGAATTGGTCACAAATTTTCCTTTCCCCCCCGCATTGCTGTAACTTCAATTGGTTGCTGAATGAGTAGTTAGTAAATAAGGACTATCTATATTATCAGTTATGTAACTGGAGGCACTATCATAAAGAATCAACTCTGGAAAGAATCATGTAGCAACATATACAAATACAAATGTAATACAAATCCAAAAATAAAATAAAACTTCAGAAAATGAAAAGGAGACTTACTTCTAGACACCCGCACAAGTTCAGATACATTAAAGACTCCAGATTTTACAAAACTATCCTCAAGATATACTGGAATGAAAAAATAAAACAAAAATAAAATAATGATTAGTTCATTTGGAATAGCAAATACAATATTTTTCTTAAATAACCCATTCATGGTTGAATACTTCATTCAAATTCTATTAAAATTGTCCAAATATACATTTTATAGGACTTTCTATAATCTTGATTTGTAGTTTTTGTACAATTTGAAAAGACTGTAGCCATCTAAATGGATGCAAAATGGGTTCAAAAAACAGGACAATGTAACATAAGATATAATGTGACTGGTATGTCATCCCATGATACAGACTTTAATGCGTTCAAGTACAATTCAAGTAACATCCTTCTTGTCCTAACAAAATGCCATCTTATTTAGTTGAATTGAAATGCCAAACTGAACAAAATGTGGAGCAAATTATCACACAGTGTCACAGGTTTTTCTTTATTTTTAAGTTATCTCATGAACCTATGTCAAAAAATAAACCAGGAAATAGGCAACTGTGAAAATAAGCTCTTTTAGCATAGGATTCTTCTGTTTAAGCAACAGCTATAAGAAAGCAGAACTATTTTTTCAGTACAGGATTTATAAGTGGCACAAATAGCAGGAAAATGACTGATTCTGTAGTTACCTTCAACTATTACAGTTTGAAGAACAGTAGAAGAAAAGGAAAATATACCATTAAGAAACTAGCAGTTTACTTCTTCTAGCAGTATAAATTAATTTATAATCTTCCCTTTCCCTTAGACACCTTTCCAAGCACTGAAAAAGAAGTGTCTATGTTTCACATAGATTTTACACATTATAAAGTCAGGAAAATAAAGTAGCTCCTCAGAAGTCTTATTTTTATTTGGTGAACTCAGGTTTGTTTAATCACACAGAGGCATGCTGAGAGTAAAGCTTAAACCAATTTTTCTTAAAAAAGTAAATATTGAGAATAAAATTAAGTATGAAACATGCAGAAGATGTAAAATACTGTTTAAAAAATTAAATGAGTATAAGCCTTAAATTGAAATAATACAATATTAATTAGTTGGCATTTTGTATATAGTTCCAAATATTCAATTCTATAACTTAGGTTCCAAAAGTATTTTTAAGATAGAAATTCAACCCAATTTGTTCTATTGCTGAAAGAATTTAGTGATGCAAACTAATAATAAATCTGCTGTGACATATAAAGTAGTTGACTTCCATCTTTGTGATGATAACAAGCAATATTTACTGTCTGGTGTGGAGACAATAAGAGATAAGGAAGACATGTTCTTCCAATAGAAGATAATGCTCTTGTTAAAATATCTACCGTATGTGAAAAACCTACATACATTATTTCAAATGGTCAGGTATTTCAGTATTTAAATCTATATAACAGTGTAACTGACTAAAGCCTTGTTTTATTCTAGAGATGATGTCATGAGAAATAATATAACTCACTAATTATTGCCATTTCTAACCTAAGAATCTACCAGAATCCTCCTGGAAAAGACGCTTCCTGCAAAAATCTGAACAATATAATTTATTATAATCAGAGGGTCAATCAAATAAGATGCTTCTGTGTCTATACAGCAAAGAACTACGAGAGGTTAATTGCATTCTTCTTTTTTTAGGAGGTGTGAAAACCCCTACTTTAATACTACAATTATAAGACTGGTGTCACTGTGAATACTGGGCAAAGACCCAAGTCCTGTGTGCACCCATCTTTAAGGAGACAGGTTTGGAGCAAGTTGTCATAACATACCCTGTGAATAGAAGTACCTGATGGCCACACTTGCATTAAAAAATGCAAACTAATGGTTAAAAACCTGATTTTTTTCCATCGATTGTATCCCAAATTATAACTCCAAAGCCTGAATACATAATACACATTCTGCAACCAAAAAAGAAAATACATGGTAGCTTATGTAAAGATAGTTTATTAGTGAAATACTTACTTTTCATTGTCTAGTATTTGCAACTATATAAATAAAACTATGCCCATGCATATTACTTTCTCATTTTCCTCTAAATACGTAAAGATATTTAAATCATCAATGGCTTGACATATTATTTTGGCTGAAAAAATACTGCATTGCTATGATACTGAAGTAAATACTAATTCTCTTTTTCTAAATTCTTCCTCTCCTGCAGAAATAGGATTATAACCCTGAAATTACATAGGAAAGAGGGAAAGACATGCTTAAGAGAAAGATTCAGATATTGTAGAAAAAAACAAATATTTAGCATTTGCCTTTGGTACAGAAGATATAGATCAAATACCTAATACAGAGCAAATATTTTCTCAGGGAGTAAATCAGAAATTAAGCAAACTGAAGTAAAAAGAGAAACTATATAATCAAAAAGAGCAGATTCTGAGGGCACTCATCTGAGAGATCTTTAAAAAGTCAAGGGTGAGATTGCTGAATTCTTTGCAAAACCATGGCACATCTTTTACATTGCTGCGAAAGCAAAAGATTAAAAGTCAATTACTGTGCCAATTTTAAGAAGACACAGGGGAGATCTGAAAATTATTGGTTAGAATCAGTTTAATGTTCATTCTGAAAAATTGGACTTAACACTGATTCAGGGCAAACTGATGGAAAATGTAATTAAATAAAAATAACTAACCTGTAGAAGATCAAACCTTGCTGAAATAAGATAATTCATAGATTCTGCAAAAGTAATTCTGGCTTTACAAACCTTTTGCAATATTTTTAAAGTGTCAAGAGGTATGGGAATGGATCCTATCAATATGTATATTTGGTTTTATAAAAAGCCTTTAAAACCATCTTTCATAAAGCATTCTTGAGTAAACTGAGTAGTGCTGGATAAGAGGACTTGACATTTTATGGATTATTAACTGGTTTAAAAAGCAGAAAACAAAAAGTAACCTTTTTTCTGCAATAGAAGAAAATAAGATCTTTCCAAGCTCTATTAAGACCAGCTTTTCTAACTTGCTCATAAATGATGGGAAAAGTACAAAAAAGAGCAACTAAGATGATTAAAGGGCTAAAGGACTAAAACATATGAAGAACCGTTGCAGGATTTGGGTTTGGCTAGTCTAGAGAAAAGAAGGACTAGGGGGGACAGGATAGCAGCATTCCAGTATTTGAGAGGCTGCTACAAAGAGGAGGGGGTCAATTTATTTTCCAAAGCACCAGAAGGCAGGACAAGAAACAATGGATGGAAACTAATCAAGGAGAGAAGCAACCTGGAATTAAGAAGAAACTTCCTAACAGCAGGACAATTAACCAGTGGAACAGCTTGCCTTCAGATGTTGTGGGTGCTTCATCACAAGAGGTTTTTAAGAAGAGACTGGATAGTCACTTGTCTGAAATGGTATAAGATCTCCTGCTTGAACAGGGGGCTGGACTAGAAGACCTTCAAGGTCCTTTCCAGCTCTATTCTGATCTTGATTGAAGATAAATCTGTAAATGCTACAAATCAGCCATAAATATCCTGCCACTTCTGCTCACTCTGGTGGGATAATCCCACTGAGAAATACTACACTGCTCATATTTGCTCAGATCAATATATTTCCAGTGAATATAATTTTGAATAATACAATAATTCATTAGCTTAAACATTTCACCAGTAGTTGTACTTGTTGGTCAAAATATTATTTGGCAATGTCCTCTACATAAATGCATTCATTTACTTGTAATGATATTCTGTATGATATATCTGAGTTTCCTTAGTATTTTTCACTATATATTCAATTCTATATTTCACGGATTTTTAAGACCCAACTGATATGCTTGTTTTCTTACATAAATCTGGAATTTCATAATGTTTAATGCAGAAGTATTAATTTTTTGTCAGTTATGAACAGATAAGGTGCCTCAACTATTTGGGAAATTTCACATGAAACCAATGCAAAGTTTTAATTGTGACACATGCAGAAAGTGCACTTTTCACTCTTTCATAGAAAAACATCTACATCTACTATTTTTTCAATTATTTATCCATATTCAAGGTAGAAATAAGAGGGTATTTAAGGAACAAAATATAAAAATTCAGATGATAATTCTTATCTATAGTTTACTGCAACTGTGATTTCCACATTGTACACCCACAAAATGGCAGATGTGCTTCTATTCATGTGCGATAGAAGGCTTTTAAGGTTAATGTCACCCAATCACAAACACTTGGTCGTAAGGCTTCAGATAAAAGCTCCCCCTTTTCTCCTCTGATAAGAATGATTCCAATTGCACCTATTGCTCTTAGCAATGGCTTCAGAGGAAAGGCTTCTCATTCCTCAGAGTCAGAAAGAGAAAAACAAACAAATCTATCCTTTGTGGCCTCCTACAAGAACATTAGTGAAAATGCTGTCACTTTGGTCAAGAGAGAAAGAAAGCCAATATCTGTATATTTTCCAAGGACTGAGATCACGCTGAGGAACACAACTTTGAAAACTCCAGTCTAAGGTTTTAGTTATTTTGTTCAATTTTATACCATTTGCAAAAACATGGGTAGGATTCCTTATACTTCTTCATACAAACAATGAATGAATGAAAATATCAATATCATCTCTTAAGTACTGACTAAGAATACCGTGTCAACAGTACGATAGATCGAGACTATATTAATCTAACGATTAGTGGTACAACATCCCATCAAATTCAGTTCTCTCCATATATATCCTAAAGGTAATCGTTAATTTCTTCAATATGTTAATTTTTTACTTTGTTCTAATCGGATTCGTTCTAAACAAGGATTGACCTCAACTTCTGGTAATTATAATTCTGTTTCAAAGTGCTTACTGACCAATCACTTTACAATCTGCTCTGAAATAGCCAAGGTATAACTGCTACACTAACTGCTCTGTAGTTCCCTGGATCTTTTTTCTATAAGTTTCTTCTCTACATTTTGAAGACAGAATCAGTGTTTCCTCTCTTCTAGTCATCTGGCCCATCATCAATTCTCCAAAATTTCTCAAAACCCAGGATTTTACCAAATCATCAGCTGATTCTTTCAGTGTCCTAGAGTGCAATTTGCCTTATTCCAATTTCCAATCCTATAAAACATGTCAGTTTTTTTCTTGGAGGTGAATAGCATTGTCTTTTATTTGTCATATCTTAGTATGTTCTTCCTTATTCAATGATATCAAGTTATTAATTTCAGAATTAATAGAATTAGAATTAGGATACAAGTGTCGGTAATCATAGTCCCAACAGTCTATTGCTGTTGGACATCAGTAAAAGTTAGTAGTGTTCCATTGACTTCTAGTACTTTTTTGCAAATCTGGCAACTGAAGAAAGAGGCAAAAGTTTGCTGTGATTTTTACTTGTATATAATATGTTCAAAGATAAAACAAATAATTGGATTTGACCAAATTATGAAGATTAAGAACAATTTGGGATAATCACTCTGATCTCAAGTTTCAACTGTGGAAAGAAACCTTTCTTCCAGGTCTGGTCCTGCTCATTAAGAGATGGGTGAATAAACCTGAATAATCCTTAGGACTGCAAGCTCTTGTCAGGAATATTGGTTTTATAGGGCTTATATCATCTTTACTTTTATTTTAGCCTAACTAAACATTTTTAGCAATCAACTACATTGCTTAGTAATGGAAATTCCAATCATAATTGTGATCCTGAGTTACTATCTATAAATAATTTTCACTGCCAGTTGATAAACTAAAGGCAATTCACATCCTTAAAACACATAGGTAAACACCATAGGTATACATGTATTGTTTTTCATGCTTTTGGTTTTACTATCACATTCCTTACTACTACAATAACAGGAACCTTTTAAAATCATGGTATACAACTTATTTGAACTAACATCAGTTGTCCTCAGTTTGCAGAGTCCCCACATGTTTATGCTAAGGAAATCTTACATGTACTGAAATGGATACTTTATATCCAGCACTATATAATATAATTTTCAGTATTGTAGTTAGATTACTAAGTCTGAATTTAAAATAATTAACTGAAAGTAGAGCATAATTTTAGGCCAATGGTATTGAAGGTAGTGATAACCAAATGATAAGGCTCATAAATTGAGTTGTCAAATTTGCTATGTAAGTCTGCATTAGTATTACCAACATATTAATTTCTTTTCAAAATAAACTATGATTTTTTTTGCAACAGTTGTTAATGCTTTTTTATTTGGCAAAAGCATCTTGCCTTTCCTCTAGTTAAGAAGGCAAATTACCAGACACCCTAAAGAATGCAACTGTCTAGCCAAATATAGAGGAACTAATTTCCACTGCCAGTAGCTTTGCCAAATATTGCAGTTTGCAGGGATTTTTCCCCCTTCTTGGCAAAGCTCTTGCAAAAATGATGACATTCCAAAACTCTAGTAATTTTGCATGAAACATCCTGGACTCTACATTCTGAGTCTGGATTAAAGATTGCTATAAAAGTATCTTTATTATTAGTCCTGCAGATTTATTAAAATCTCACGTAAGACCAGTGGGCATATAGTGTTTTATATTCATGCATTTCTTCTTCAGGCAACACAAATCTCAGAATTTCATACTTCACAAGAAATGGATGTATCAAAACTGAAATACAATTTTAGAGCAATTAAAAAAAGTATTGGTAGCTCAGAGGCTGCCAATGTTCACCAAGACACTACTGTGCAATCTGTTCTACCTAACTTACTTTTGTTTGGCAAGCTGCAAAACAACGTGTTAGCTTTTAACATATTCATTTGCAGAATGATAGCATCTGTAATACTAATGTGTTTTACAACTGACTATGGCCACTCTGACAATTATTCTGTAAATAAGCAGTTAATAATAATTTTATGAATGTGTCCATTATAGTTTGCTCTACATTATCACATTTTTAATGACTCAAATAGCAAAAGTCTAAAGTAGAATACAAAATCCTTTTCTAGAAATCTAAGATAACCAAAAATATTCATAAAATCTTTGTACAAGTAGTCCTCAGGTTACGACAGCAGTTGGGACTGGTATTGCCGTTGCTAAATGATGCAATTGTAAAGTATGACATCATGTGACTACATCACTTAGCAACAGCACTCCTGGCAGTCCTGATTGCTATCTTAACCCTAAGACAGAGGTCCCCAACCTTTTGAG